AATAAAAATACTGTTGAAATAAATATTTTTATGAACAGTAAAATAACCACTCTTTTAGTTTCTTTTAGTTTATGCTATAATATAATCGATCATTAGTAAATAACTTGCACTTGTAAAATTTTTTAACTGGATAAAAAGAGAGTGAACAATTCCCTCCCCCCATCAAGATTCAGAATTCAAAAGCCATGGTAGTTACAACGGAGTAGACGGTAAAGGCAAAAAAAAACTGCCAGGGAAGGAAGGAAGTGGCATATTTGTCATTCCAAAACAGCGTCTCATCTATCTATTTCGATCCACTTCATCGAGATGCATATCCTACTTTAACTCTCCTCACCCATCTCCCTCTCTGTCGTATTTCTTGAGCAGAAACCAGATGGAGTGACAGTGTATGTACATGTCACTGTAACTGGCTCTTACATATCTATCGTTGTAGATTTAGACTCAGAGTTTGTCACTTCTTTACCATTCCTGCATACATTTCTGTGTTATATTCATTTGCTCTCCTGTCTCCTTCGACAGTTCAAACTCCACTCCTCCGCTAGTGTCTAAAGGTATGCTTTTGTTTTCTAGTTCTGTTTTTGCATGTTATTTATGTTCTTGTAATGTTGGCTTTGCAATCTTGAAGAACTTTTCTTGGTTGTTTTTAGACAAGGTTCCGCTTTTATTGGTTCTAGTTTTGATTGGTGTTTTTTAGGGTCAAATTACATTGGATATCTTTTTTCCCTGGACTGATCTCTCATTTCCAATCTTTTCTGTTTGAAAGTTTGCGAGAGTTTGCAGTGTTGTTTGGTTGCCGAGATGTTAAGGGAAAGGAAAGGTCTTGAAGCTCGCATGCTTTAGAAACTACTATAGTTAAATCTCCATTCTGCTCCTAGTTTCCATAAGTGAAGGGGGTTTTCCTTTCAACGACGTGTGTGGTTGTTGTGTGGGGTTTCGCAGTTTCGGATTTGATTTATCTTTCGTTTGATTGCTAAGGAGGAGTTGGAAAAGATAGAATTTGGTTTGTCTGAATTATCATTTGAAGGGAGGTAACTCTTAGTTTAAATTTGGACTCCTACACTTCGTAATTTTTAATTTCAACATTGAAGGATATGTTTCAATTTCCTGAAACCAGCCAGCCAAAACACTTCTTTTGTTCTGTTTTGATTTGGAAGACTTTCATTTCATTTAGTTTTGTTAATCTGTTCTGAGTTTTGAAGTTCGAGTCCCTTTTCTTCGTTTTACCAATCAAATCACATAGGATCTATATGTTTCATTTGATTTGATTTTATTTCTGGTTCTTCATTTTATAATTTTAGCTTATTCAATGGTGTTGTGAATTTGATTGCTGTTCATTTTTGTTTCTTAGAATAAGGTTTTCAATTTCAATAATCTATCTGGCTGTTTTCTCAGTAAGAACATTTTGCTTGGGTCAAAATTTGTGTTGGAGAGCAGTGTGCAGTTGCAGTCTACTTATCTATTGTAATTTTGCAGTTCCTTGCAACAAGATTCCTCGAAGAATGGAGGTCGACAATGCAGTTAAAGCGAATGAGGAAACCATCGCCAAAGAAATTCATGCTGAAGCAACTGTTGTGGCACCAGAAAAAGAAAAAACAAATGCTACCAATAGTGAAAGGCCTCTTAATGCCAATGAAACATCTGAGAGTTTTGCCAAAGCTGAAGGTCTTAATTCTTCTTCTATAGCAAGTGAAGGTGCATCAAGTGTTTCTCAACGAAAAATCTCAAATACCTCAAAGGTACAGTGCAAAGATGATTCTTTGGTTGAGCTTCTTCATTGTGACTTACATTTTCTCATGGCACGAAATGAAAGAAACATTTCTCTTCTTACCTGTGTTTAGGAACCTGCTCCTCGTAAAGGCACTAGTTCAAAGAACAGCAAATTGGCCAAGGATAAGCCTAATATGAAAGGCTCAGGTGCATTTACACGTAGCCATAGGCCAATACTTTCTCAAAGTCTTTCATTTCCAGCAAAAGGAGCGTGTACTGATAATATGACGAAGAGCATTGAGGAACACCCGCTCAGAACTGCTGCCAAGCATGCCCGAGATGAAGGAACAAAGGTGAAGGTTTCTTTTCCCCGTGTATCAGTCACTTCAAGTCCCCGTCTTAATCAAGCCAACAGGCGTGTTTCAACTGGAGTGAATTCAAGGGAACCTTCAAATATCAATTGTAGTAAAACTTTAACTAGGCAGAGTTCTTCAACAGGAAAGTCTTGCAGTCAACAGGCTACGGTAAGGGTATCTGCTGGTAAATTTTGACCATTAATACTTTTTTGTGTTGTTTTAGGTCTTTTGTTTATGTAAACTCTTTGTTGTTCATAACAGTCTGTGAAATCAAGTTCTTTGAATGAAGCTGCTAAGCGCCCTCCACACCAGGCTTCTGAGTAAGTTATCACCGATCCACTGCATAAAATTGTTAGCCCTATATTGGTTGATGCAATCAAAATGTATTCAGGGAAGCTTCCCCTGTCCCCACCTGCACCCTCTGCCCTTGGATAAAAGTAATCCTATTTACATATTTGCTTAGTGGATAAAGTACTTATATAATCATTATCTAATGGCAGGTCTGCAGCTCATCAAAATTCAAAACCTGAGACAACCACATTGTCAAGCAAAGAAGATGATGACACCCATTCCACCACCTCGTATTGCTCTTATAGAACACAAATGGTTTTGTGATTATTTATTTTTATCAAGCATCTGTTTGCTAACATGCCATTATACTCTGTATTAATATCAGAAGTGCCACTCCTAGCGGGAGGCGGAGTAGTGGTTCTGGATTCTCCTTCAGATTGGAAGAACGTGCTGAAAAACGGAAGGAGGTTGTTGCTGGAATTTAGTTCCTTTCTTAGGTTCTTAATATTTTAATTTGAAACCATAAAGTGATTGTATTATGGCCTCTGTTCTCCAGTTCTTTTCAAAGATTGAAGAGAAGATCCATGCTAAGGAAATTGAACAAACTAACTTGCAGGAAAAATCAAAGGTGTTGGGATTTTTTCTTTTGCGCAGAACATCTTTCCTTTTGACCTTTCTCTTCTGAATCCAAAGGAATTTGGATCGTCATTTCACCTTTCACTCTTTGGTGGCATGCAGGAGAACCAGGAGGCAGAGATCAAGCAACTGAGGAAGAGTTTGACATTTAAAGCTACACCTATGCCAAGTTTCTACAAAGAACCTCCTCCAAAAGCTGAACTAAAGAAGGTAATGCTTGAACTGTCAGATATCTATCGATAATGTCATGTCATTTGTTCGCATTCCGCATTACCTGCATTCCATCAACTTTAAGATTGGAAGCAAACCAAATCAACTCTCTAAAAGCCTTTAAATTCTATTTTTTCAAATGTCTCATTATGTTTTTGCTAATGCTATCTTCATTATGTGGTAACAAATTTGTAAACTGTGGTTTCAAATCCACATGTTCTGTTGACATGTTTGTTTGCCTGTACCTGTTAAATTGAGTTTTCTAAATGTGGCCTAAAATTTAAATGAATCTTGGAGTCCCTAATTATTTGTAACCAGACATATTTAATGACGATGCATTTATCCAGTAAATGATTGTGCAGTTTTTAGGCTTTCGTTTGGCCTTTGCAAATTGCAATTATTGTTCTTTAGGATTGTAGGTGATGCGCTAGCTTAGGATCTTGCTTTCATGAGTCTATTTTGCATGGTAAGGTGTTGACGTTTGCTAGTGAGGGCGTCTCTGCAATGCATGCTGATTTTGTCAAAAATAAATAAATAAAAATAAATGAGACACCCAGTTTTTTTAAAACGTGATAAAGGTCTGGACTTCAATCGTAATTGATAGGTACACGCCTAAGACTTACCCAAGGCTTGTAAATAGCCATTGGTCTCTGTCTTTGCTTCAAAATAGAATTAGGAGTTTCCAAAGGACTGGAGGTTGAAGAGAGCATACGGTCATGGTTATCTGTTATGACTCAGGAGCTTTGTCTTCTGTTTTTCCAAAGAAGAACGTTCACGTAGTTTCATTCTACATTGCATGAACTATGAACGGAGCTACCCTTAACAGCTTGTGTGATATTGAACATGAATATCAGAAATCCAGTGCTAGTCTCAAGTCCTCGTTGCCAATTTCGATTGATAAGTGGTGAACTTCACGAATTCAAGCCAACATGAGACAATTGTCTGCGGCTCATCCTATATACTTGTGAATATATTTGCACAAAAGAACACACTTGCTAGTTCAATTCTAAGTTTATCTAGCATAACAGCATTTTAATGTGTATTTCTTCCGCCTGTTTCATTTGGATTCCTTGTTTTTTTTTCTCTCCATCTTCTCTATGGAACATCGGGATAAAGTTCTGTGTGCTGATTCTTATAGATACCAACTACTCGTGCAATATCACCGAAGCTTGGAAGGCGCAAGAGCTCCACCACTTTAACGAACAACTCTTTGGAAGACAGTGGATCTTCTTTTAGCCCACGAGCTTCTCACAGCCCACGTCTGAACCAAGAATCAAGCAACCCAACCAAGGGAATTCAGAGAAATGGTAACAAGGATAATGGTGCTTCAAAAACCCCAATTAGGAAGTCCCAACCCAAGCTTCAATCTCACCAAATCACGGCCAATGGACTGGAAGGAAAGACTGTCAAGTCCAAAGCAAAGCCACCTGGAGCAGAGAATCAAACCCAGAAAGCTGGTGTCGGAAAAGTGGAAGAAAACGAGAATAATTCTAAGAAAATCCCTTTATGTGATAATGGAATTCAGACCATGCCTGAAAACAACACTCCGCAGAACGATGGACTGGTATTGTCCTCGTCCAATCCTGAGTTCGTGCTCCCTCAAGTCACAGTCGGAGGGTGAGAACTTGATTATTTTATCTTGTATCTGTAGTTTTGTTTTCATTCAAGTTCCATGTTGTTGTGAATAGGCTGGCTGTATGATAGCGTATATGGCATTTTTTTAGGGTACTTGTGAAGTCAACATAAATCTACCATTTGAACATGCATTCCTTATCAATATAAGCTTGTATTCCTTTTTTCAAATTTTATTGAAGTGTTTCGAAAAAACATTTTGTAACTTCGTTAGTCTTTCTTTTATGCGATGCTTAAATTGCCGGCCTTTGAGGCAACCACCGGTAACGATGAATTTTTAGATATAAAGCATCTGTCTCCACCTCTGATTCCTCGGAAGACTCCCTTTTCAGTAGAACAAGCAGCCAGTGAAATCCATCATTTTCCCAGAAGGAAAAAAGCTGAAGCAATCATGAAGCTGTAAGTTGTGTGTTAGGGGTAAGGTGAAAGGTTTTTGGTGTTGAACACCGGAAGAATAGGCAGCACATAACAATGACAGTGAGAGGCTCATGAAAAGGCAAAGCTTCTTTTGTTAGCAAAGCAAGATGGAGTTGTGATTGTTGTTGAGTAAAGATCTTAACCTAATTGAAACCTCACCATTTTTTTTTCTATGATTTGGACGCGTTGCCAAGGTGAATGCTATGATATCAAATTGGAAAAAGCTCATTTCAACCTCTCATTGATTCCCCAGCCGCACAGAGAGTGACAGGTTATAGCTGGCGTTGTAAAAAGCTACATTCACAGTGAAGACCATTTCTCAGGCTATTGAAGCATGGGTGATGGTGTCATGGTGGTATCGAGGGCAGCCAGAACGATAACTTGGAGTGTCCAAATGGGAAACAGATTGATGATAATTGACTACTTCAAAGTTCAAATCATTGTTTTATGGAGTCTAAGATGTTACTAGCCAATGGTTTGGTGATTAGCAAGGTAAATGAGTTTGCCCTTCACGTTCATGCATCAACAAAAAGAGTGTATGTGTATCGGTGGGTGATCTATTTATAAAATTAAAAGTACATATATTCTTACATTTTAAAAGTATTAAAAAAAAATTATTTTTTTAATTTCAAATTAATATATTTTGATATTTTTAGATTGTTTTGATATACTAATATAAAAAAATAATTTTTAAAAATTAAAAAAATATTTTAATATATTTTCAAATAAAAAATATTTTAAAAAATAATTACTGAATAAAAAAACAAAAAAAAATAACAAGAAGAGGTAAACATTGCTGGGCTAAATTGAGGTTTTATTTGCACAACGTTTAATCCCATTGATGCTTGCGAGACCATGTTATTAGCTGCATGGTTTTATTTTGTAAGAATTATGCTTCAACATGAATAGAACATAAGATTATGCTTGGTGGGTTGGACATGAGATGATAAAATAAGACATTTAAGCTGTGATTTGTTTGGTGTATACTTCGAAGAAGACAGGCAAGCTGTGAGGTGTTTGGTGTGTGTTTTATGAGTTTTGCATACCTTTGATCCTTCTGTCATGAGAGTTGTTCCAAGATAACAAATTTATCTCATCATGGTGGTGGATCAAGCTTGCAATATTAACATATAAAATTATTATTTCTCAATTTATCATATCATCTATTATTTTTTTATCATTCTTTTATTCTTTTATGATTTGGTAGACTAAAATGTGACCATATTTATTAAAATGTATTTATGTATAGGGGCTTAATTGCATAAAAAATAACTTTAGGGTATGTACCTATATATATATATATAATCTAATCCAATCTTATCTGTTATGTAATCGAGTTGATTTATCTTTGTATTGTTATGTTCAATTTATTATATTAAATTATCTACAACTCTAAAAGACCCCAGATTCTTTGGCACCTTACTATTCATAGCAGGTTAATATATTTGTTTAAATCATATAATAACAACTTTATATTGTAGCTTAGTTGGTTAGTTCAAGAGCTAGGAAAGGAAAAAAAAAATTTATGGAGACAAACAATATGTCATTTGTGTTTTTTATTTTTGCCTTGTTTGTTGCTAGTGTTTTTTTCATGTAAATATATTTAACATATAACAATTGTTTATTGTTGATGATCAATTTGTCAAAAATTATTAAGGAAAAAAAATCAACAATTAATAACCAAAGTGTAAAATAGAAAGAAAATTCATGGCCAGAATAGAGAGAGAGAGAAACACCAATAGCAAATAATTATTTAATGTTAAATATATTCACAAGAAACAAATTCATGGCCAGAATAGAGAGAGAGAGAGAGAAACACCAATAGCAGATAATTGTTTAATGTTAAATATATTTACAAGAAAAATATAGTACGAGCATGAAAAAGGTAAAAAATACTACTGAATTGTTATATTGTTTCAATAAAACTTTGTAGTATATTTTGTAATTGAAATTGTAATTTTGTAATTGAAATTGTAATTGTATATTGGTGTGGTAGGCATAATGTTTAGTGTGTTCTACCACCATCTTTTTTTAAAAAAATCTATATTTATACCTTACAGAATCATGATTAACAAGTAACCAATTAAGAATGTGTTTGGAATTGTGATAATAATTGTGGTTTAAAATATTTTTTATTTAAAAATATATTAAAATAATTTTTTTTAAATATCAGTATATCAAAATAATCTAAAACATGAAATAATTAATTTTTAATAAAAAAATTCAAAATTTAAAAAAACACAATACTAACCACGATACCAAACAAACTCTAAAACTTGCCAATACATTAACATCTATCTTTTTCAATCTAAAATTTATGCGTGAGAAAAAACTCTGTTATAATATCTTTAATAAGGATTAGTTATTTTCTCATGAGGGGATAGGGTTGTATAGTGCGGGTGTAAAACTAATTTCTTTTAGATGATTAACTAGGTGATTGTTTCGTGTTTTGCTACGGTCCAAAAAAAATAACAATTTCAAACTTAAGAAAATATTAAAGTGTTGCTAATATATTTTTTATTATAAATAAAATTTTGATTATGAACTTAACATTTAATGCATACAAATTAGTTTTTTTTTTCAAATATAAAGATAATATCTCCTATCAATTCAAGCTAACATGCCAACTTAAACTAAAATGTTAAACTCGAGACTCAAATTATGAACTTGACTGGACTTAATAACATTATTTTTCTAAGATAATCTTTTCTTTAATAATATGATTAAAAAAATATAATCTTAATATCAAGGACCAATACAATATAGAAAGGTTTTGTAAATTAATTATAAGAATTGCTTTCCAAATAAAAATCCATCACAATCTTAAAAGAAAATCTAAAGAATAATTAAAACAAAGTCTCAATATTTTATATATGATTAAATATTAAAAACATTGATAAATGAGATAAATTATATAAAAAAATTAAAAACATAAATTGTATGTTAATTGAATATTCATGATTTTTTCCCATTTAGACATATAATAATTAGAAAAACAATTTTTAATATTCCCATAAAAAACTATACTATTATTTGAGAAACATGACAAATTGACTAATAACTGTAATATAATATTAATTTTTTATTTAATGCATTTAAATCTACATCCAAAAAAATCAAAATAAAAAAGCCCTGGGCCTGACACCTAAAGCTAACATGTCGAGGGCCTGACACCTGTAGGCTAGTGAGGCTAAACCTAGATGAATGGCCTTCTATTATTTTTCTTTATATTAAAGGGTTGATAATATATTGTTTGTGTGTTGTCTACCTTTTCTATAACCAAATCATCACACAAGGATAATATATTGTTTGTGTGTTGTCTACCTCATCACACAAAATTAGTTTTTCAAGGTCAATCATAAGAGATTTTTCAAAGATTTAATGGCTAATACATCAAAATTGAAAGAACATGTAATTGATGGGGAAAAAGAGTCTGGATGAGTGAGAAAAAAAAGTTTTTATACCTAGGTTTAAGGCAATCGATGTTAGGAAATTAACAAGGGTTGGATAAATGACATGTGGTATGGTAATGGAGGGCAATTGGTGAGTATAATAGGAAAAAAAGGAATATTGTTGTGTAAAGAAATTGAATAAGTCCAACCTAAGAGATCTGGTCTAATTGGGCTGGAACCACCATTCAAAATGCAAACCTAGTTCAACTAATTATTTCAAGATGTTGTTTGCATTCAGAAAATAATAGATAATTTCAATTGTTAGGTTTTAATTTATGAGAGGTTCGACCAACCTCAAATTTAGTCACTAAATTTACCTTTCTTGTTTTTCAGTATAATTAAAAACATCAATTGAATAAAATTACAATTATCAATTTAGTCTTTATTTTCTTTAAATCTTCCATTACATCCCTTTTCCATGGTAGAAGAGATAAGAGTATCATAGTTAATTAAGACTATAGCTAGAATGAGGCAACAGCAGAAAGAGCAATAATAGAAAGTCCTAGAAATGATTATATAACTGCAACAAATGTCAATCAAAGTTGATCAACTTAATAAAACTCAAGGAAAATGAGTAATTAAATCTTCTTTAAACACATATGTTACTTTAGTAAATGAACATCATATGCAAGAAATGAAGTAGCCAGCTAAAAATCAGATTCAAATGAGACCCATCACACTTAATTTTCACTGGTTTGATGGTGAAGATCCAAAAGGATAGATTTATTAAGCCACTTATTTTTTTAGTTATCACAATACTCCACCACAACATTGATTATTTTTAGCAAGTTTCTAAATGAGAGGCAAGGTAATTGTTTAGTATTAAGAGATGGAGAAAATTGATTTAGTAACTAGTTAGGAATCATTTGTTAAAGATATTTAAATTCATTTCATAAATCCGATCTATTATGGCTCAATGAAAGTATTGATCAGTTTGAAACAAAACTTAATAGTTGAAGAATACAAACTCCATTGGAGTTATTATCAAATTGAGTTAGAGGCTTGTCTGATACTTATAAGTCAAGTTGTTTCATTTGATGGCTTAACGAGGAAGTTTGTACTGGCATCAAAATATTTAATCCTCCTAACTTAGTTGAGGCTTATGGGCTTGCACAAATACAAAAGAAAAACCTAAAGGTCTAACTTTGATATTAAAAACCAATTAGCAGCATCATTTCAGGAAAATTAAATCCAACAAATCCATGCCAAGAGTTTGGTTCATGGTTATCCATTCAAAGATTAACACCTACACAAATAAAATAAAAAATGAGAGAAAGGTTTATATTTTAAATGTAACTGGAGTTAGGAGTTAGGTCATAAGTGTGAGAGTCTAAAGTATTTTTAATAGAAAAGGTTGAGGAAGATGAGCTACTTAATATGGAAGACCTAATTGATTTATCTAATCTATTAGAGGAAAATAAAGAGGTCAAAATCTTTATAAATGTCATGTTAGGAAATCCTAGTGTTAAAACCATAAGGATACAACTAATGATTAATAATCAAGTGATGATGGCATTAATAGATACATGTAATACACATGATTTCACACACCATAAGGTGGCTTAAAGGACAAAGATAAATATCAAAGAAAATTCACTCATTAGGGTGAAAATTATTGGTGGAATTAAAAAAATTTGCAAAAAAATATATATTCAAATATAAAATTTAAGGCCCAAGGACACAAATTCATAACTCAAGCTTTCTAAATCCAGTTGAGCAACTGTGACATGGTTTTAGACATTCTATGGTTTAAGAAGTTAGATTTTATTTTATAGGATTTCAATAGATTCACTAAGAAGTTTCATTACCAAAAAGCCATAATTTTATAACAGGCCTAAAAGTTCAAGAGTGCATAATGGACAGGAGGCTTAGGTTCTTAAAGAAGTTAAAGAAGGCTGATGTTACAAATTTGAGTATAGGAGATTGAAGTTTTAAAGAACAACAAACTATCAAATCTTGTTCAGAACTTATTAAAGGAATATTAAGAAGTATTTTTTAAACCCAAATAGCTTCCTTCTAAAATATCTAAATATTGCACAATCACACTAAAAGAATAGGTTTTTCCTATAAATAGAAGGTCTTATCAGTATCCATATTATAAAAAAATAGTATTGAGAAAATAATAAAGAAGTTGCTACAATGAATGGCTATATGGCCTAGTGTAAGTCCCTTTTCTTGTCCAGTTTTGTTACTCAGAAAAGATGATAGATCAAGGCATATATGTATTGATTATTAGACATTAAATAAATAAACAATTAAATATAAGTTCCTTATTTTATTTTTTGAGAAACTATTAGATGAATTGCATGGGTCTAATTATTTCTCTAAATAGGATCTAAAGTTAGGGTTCCACTAGATTCGGATGTATTAAAAAGATATCTCTAAAATTATCTTCAAGCCTCATAAAAGATATTTTAAGTTTTTGGTGATGCCTTACAGACTCACAAATGCCTTCATATACTTTTCAAAGCATCATGAAAAAGGCATTCCAAACCTACCTTGGGCATTTTGTTTTGGTATTTTTTATGACATATTGATTTATAGTAAATTAAAGAAAGAACATTTGGCCCACATGAAGTCAATCTTAACCTTATTAGCCTAATACAAATTCTATATCAAAATGTATAAGTGCAATTTTTTTAATGAAAAAATTGAATATTTGGACCACATTATTTTTAGAGATAGGGTACGGGTTGATCCTAAAAAAATTAAAGTTGTGCTTAATTAGTCAAAACTTGGTAACTTCAAAGCTTTAAGGGGATTTTTTGTGGCTTACTAGGTATGACAATACGTTTATTAAATGTTATGGCGTTATGGCTAGCAATTTAACCAAATTGCTTAAAAAAAGGCTTTTCGATTAGGATCAATAAGTAGAGAAGATATTCAATTAGTTAAAATATATTATCATCCATCCACCTACTCTATTACTTCATTTCTCAAAGTATTTCATAGTAAAGTACAATGCATTTAGAGTTTAGGGAGGAATAATTTTCATGCAAGAGGGCAAACCTTTATTTTTTATTTATTTAATTATGAGCTTGAAAGGCAAGGAACTAGATTTGTCAACCTATGAAGAGAAGTTATTGGATATCGTGATAAGAATACAAAAATGAAGGCCTTACTTATTAAGTCGAGCATTCAAAATCAAAATAGACCAAAAAAGCCTAAAGTATATGTTATAACAAAAAATTAGCACATCAATACAGAAAAAGTGGATATCTATACTTTTAGGTTATGATTTTATAATATAAATAAAATGGGCAAAGATGACTTAGTAAATGATGCACTTTCAAAAAAAAAAAAAACAAAGAAACAACTAGTAATGAGTTATAGGCTCTCACATTAATTAAAAGAAAGTTACTCTACTAATTCTAAGGTACAAATAGTTCTTAGACAAATAAAAAAAGATACCTTGCAATGACACATGTTTCAATTACAATGAGAAGTATTGTTATATAAGGGAATGATTTTTTTGGTAAGGAATGTCCCCTTAACCTACATATCATAAAGTATCTTAATGACAGCCTTTCAGGTGACCACTCAGATTTTAAAATATCATTTAAAGAGTTTACAATGATTTCTTTTAGGTGGCTATAAAGATTAATGTAAAAAAATACATTAGAAAATATAAAGTGTGTCAAATGGTAAAATTAAAGCACATTAGACCCTTTGAACTACTTCAGCCTCTATCAATTCTATATAAGTCATGAAACTTCATTTCTATGGATTTTATAAAAGGATTAAATCCTTCAGACAGATATATAATTATTTTTATGGCGGTTGATCGACTAACAAAATATGTTCATTCCATAACCCTGACTTATCCCTACATGACAAATAAAATAGCATAAATGTTTTCACAACAAGTTATGATGTTACATGGTTTCCAACTAATATTATGAAAGATAAGGATCTTGTGTTTACCAATAGGTTTTGAAAAGAACTATTTTTTTTATCCAAGAAGTGGACTCGTTAATGTTAACAACTTACCATCTACAAATTAATGAACAAACATAAATAGTTAAAAGGACAATGTAAAACTATCAAAGATGTTTTGTAGGAAAAAAACCTTATAAGCTAGTTTTGGTGATTAACTATGGTAGAATTTTGGTACAAAACTAACTATCATAAGTCGTTACAAACCATACCATTTAAGGTATTATATAGGTACAATCCACATAGCCTTATCTGTTATATCTTAAGTCTCGTAAAAAAATCAAGCAATTAAATAACATTTAAAAGATAGATCCAACATTATCAAAACAATCAAAAAAAAATTAAACAAAACCCAATAAAAACAAAAGAGACATAGATTATAAGCAAAAAGATCTTGAATTCAAAGAAGGAGAGTGGGCTTACTGAAACTCCAATCTTATCATCAGTTGAGTATACTACAATAGAGAAACAACAAATTTGTTTACATGTATTATAGACCTATTCATATATATATATATATATAAATTAGATGAATAGCTTGCTATTTACAATAGCTAAAATGAGTGAAAGTTCATCCCACTTTCTATATTTCATATCTCAAGAAGAGAGTCAATCCAACAGATAAAATAGTAGCTAAATTAAAATATTTTAGAAAGGCCTTCCACAACCAAAACTAACAGAAGTTATGGGAAAACGAGAAAAGGTAACCAGAAGAGGAAGTAACTAGAATAGAAAGTAAGAGAGAATGCAATTTATGCTTCCATGAATAGAACACTGAAGATGCTAAGTTGGTTATAGAAAATTGGATTAGGAAACAATTCCTCACCTTATGGACAAAAGGCTAAACAGAGGGAGGTAATGTAACCATTATTATACAATATCAGTTTTTCAAGGTTAATGAGAAGAGATTCTTTGAAGATTTAATGGCTCATATAAGGAAGTTGAAAGATTATGCAGTTGAAGGAGAAAAGAAGTCTAAAGAAGTGAGAAAAGAAGGTTCTTATACCTAGGTTTAAGACAATCAACGGTGGAAAATCAATAATTATTGGATAAGAAACGTGTGGTATGGTAATGAAGACAGTTAGCAAGTATAACAGGAAATGAAAGAAGAAATATTGTTGTTTAAAGAAATTAAATAGATCTAACTTGAGAAATTTAGTCCAGTTAGGCTGCAATCACTATTCAAAATTTAAACTCAGTTTAGCTAATTATTTACAAAAATTGTTTGCATTCAATAAAAATAGAAATAGAAGAATTTCAATTATTAAGATTTAATTCTTAGGAGGCCTCACCAACCTTAGATTTGGTGATAAAATTTACTTTTTCTTGTGTTTCAGTCTTTTCAGTATAATTAGAAGTTTCAATTCAATATAATTATAATTATTAATTCAATCCCTATTATCTTTAAATCTTCTATTATATCATTATTCTTATTTTCTTAACCACTTAAAAATAATTAGACTTCTTATACCTTTTTCTTAATAAAATAACACGTTGTTTACAAGTTTAAATTCTAATTACCTAAGGGTGGCTAGAAAATCAAGCTAAGATACTTTTGAGTTTGAAAATCTTTTAAAAAAATCTATTTTGACACAGAACTCTAAGGAAACACCTAAAAAAACTCAATAAGTTAATATCTCAACTCAAAACACTCCTAAATTGATTCAAAGACAAAACTCATGTCGTTGAATAAAATTATTTTACACCAAGTTTGTCTATTGTTGTTGTTTAAATCGTGACAATCAACAACCTCCTTTATCTAAGGCTATTTTTTGATGAATTTATTTCTCCTCCCTCAAATTCATGAATTTACAAATAATTAAAATGAATTTTTGTATCAAAATAAAAATAATCACAAATTTATGGTATATTTTTTGTGTTTTTATATTATAATCATTTGTCTTTTAATTTAATATTTATATTCTAATTTCAAATATAATATCATGTAATTAGGTTGTGGAAAGATTCAATTAAAAAAAAAAAAAACATTGTTTATATGAATTGTCGTCCCCTACTGTTTTGGTGATTACAATATAATTTTCATCCGCATTGTAAAATAATAAGTTTTGGTGATTACAATATAATTTTCATCCACATTGTAAAATAATAAATTTGATTTTTATTTTCTAGTTCAACCGCCATCGCTGCTCAGCCATCAATAAGGGCTTGGTTAAAAGAGGGTGGGGGGAGCCTCCTCCAGTCAAACCCTATAAGATTCCAATGGTGCCACGTAAGGAAACAGCTTTCTACTGATAGCTAATTAATCTACGCTAAAAAAAATAAAAAATAAATAGATGCCTCGGGAATGGAATATCTTTCATTAGCTGGATCCAGCAAGATGCCTTGGTGTCATGCAGTAGTGTAGTCTAGCTTGCCCTGTTTTGGTTTTTTTGGCATTTGTCTCGATCTTACATCTTAGGTGAAGTGGAGCTTGCTTCTAATTAATGAAGTCAACAGCAATCCTGAGGCCCCGTATGTATTCGTTCTTGATTTCTAGGCAATCGAGTTGTAGATGCTTAAAAAAATATTAACATCAAGAGCTTGATTAACAAAAAGATTAACTTCGATCAGAAAATTAAACCATTTATTGACAATGACAGGGTTTACTCCTCTCTTTTTTGCCTCTCTCATGGCAACAGAAGATGCCAACCCGAAGAACCCCCCCTGTTATGCCGTATTAGGGCGTCTTCGGTAGTGCAGTCAAATTATTATTTATATGTATGTTAAATTGTTTTGATATATAAATGTAAAAACCTAATATTTTAATATATTTAAGAAAAGAAAACATAATGCAACATCTACTATTACGCTCCAAACAAGCGTGAAACAAGAGCTGCTGCAGCATTATTCATGCAACCACCACCACCTCACCGTCACCGCAATTAACATTTTATTTATCAAACAAAATCTCGAGAACAAAAACAGGTCTTCTTCCCCAAACTACAATAATTGGAAAGTTTCAAGTTGATTCACGAGCGGTGGATCATATGCGGGCAAAAAGAGGACAGCCCATTATAAAAAACAAAAATGACAAAAAATGAGAGAGAGAGAGAGAGAGAGAGGGTAGCTTTCCAAGTTTGTTCATACATGAAAAATAATTAAAAAATGGTGTGTAATTACAGTATTTATAACAAAACACCAACAAACTCTGTTATGGGTGGTGGGATTTATTCAGAGGAAATCACACAGTGCAATCTCATCTCTCCCATTGTGTTTGTATTTCACAAAGGCCTTTCCTGCAATTACATGATGATGAAGAAAAAATGTTAGCCAAAGAAAAAACCATTTAAACAAGATTTTACAGATTAATGCTTGGCCAAGTGTAGTGATTTACCTTTTCTCTATTGTTTTCATGGTTCCATTTTCACTCTCTTTGAGAATTTAGCTGTGTATGTTCATTGGCATGTGGTGAAATGCGAATCCTGCCCAAGACTTCCGAGCATTCTACAAGCTACTTCCATTAACTTACCTGTGGACGCAAATCAACAATAAAAAATGTCAGGTAAACTCTAGCTGGTGTATCAACATCACATGAACAGTTAATTTCATAAACTAAGGCTTAAGTTCTAGATTAAACAATGTCTCAGCTAATAAAGGGGCCGTGAGGACAGGACAAGTCATGCCAGCTGAGTTATAAAGGGATGGCACTTAATTATGGACAAGCTGTTGTTGCCATCTTAGTCGTGGTGGGGTCTAATAATGTGGTTCACAGCTAGGAAACCCTGGATTTTGTCAGCTTTTCAATCTTGGCGTGGGCTTCAAACACTTGGATTCGTCGGTGGCAAGGGCCGTGAGATCCCTGGGACTAGTTGTTTGCCAAATTATCAGTAACCCTAGTTTTATGCATCTAAACTCCTTTTGCAGTCGTGGTAATTGACTTTTAAAACCCATCTTCATCTTCATTCTGCACTGTTTCATCAAGCTTCTGCTATCCAGGCAGAAGACTATTCCAATGGCGATCCTCTAACAGGTCCACATTGGATCTCCATCGTTGGAACTTGATGCGAATTGGCAGCCTACTTCCATGGCCCAATTCCCTCCCTTCGCCAACAAAAAAAGGTTGGGAAAGAGTGAACCTGACGGCACTATAATGCACAAAGAATCAAAAACAAGATCATATAACCCTCCACTCAGTAAACATCCAATTCCTTCCACAGCAATATGGACTCATCACTGCTTTGACGTCCAAGCTATCTCCTGTTCTTGCATATGCTCAACTATTACGCAAAGTCATCAAACGCTAAAGAGACCACAACAGCTGTGTCTGCCCGTCATCGACACCAATTATTACCACACATACCGAAACTTTTGGCAAGAGTACGATCCGATTCCCCATAGAATTTCACCTCACCACCCATAACATGACCTAATTCCTCCCTAACTCCCCATACAGAAAAAGGAAAGCGTATCCATGATCTAAATTAGGACTAAAAAGTCACTAACTATGCTGAACTAAACTTATCAATAAAATTAAGACCAAGACAAGCAATTAAAACAAAAAAATGACCGAAAATAACAAAAACATACCTCTTCTTGGCGTGGTAGTGGCAACCTTAACAGAGCTAACGGATTTCTTAACAGAAGTACTTTCTTTCTCAACTTCAGGAAACAAAACCCCATCAACCCCTTGAACTGAAATCCTACCAGCTGTATAGATGTCCGGGTCAAACAAATAGGCCGACCCATCACCCGACCCGAACTTAACCGACCCGTCAGCTTCTTGAGCCACAACTTTATGTGGCAACCTCAGTGTATCATACCCAATTTTCCCAAACCTCCTAACAGCATTATACATGCTCTCTTCAGTTTGGTACTCGGGAATTATGTGGTAATAGATTATCTGCTCTGGTGCCCCTGGCTCGCTCAACTGGTCTGTTGTTAGCTTAGCCATGGCTTCGTCATTCGGTGCCAAAACTGTCAGCACGTAACCTTCAGATACCAGCCTGCCCATTTCAGTGGCTAATGAGGTTAAGTTCACTAAAATATCAGCCATCTCATTGTAGCCACCATAGTGTAGTAACGTCTGTATGAAGTCTTTGACTTGGCTTTCTCCATCGAAATGGTGGTGAGGCCCGCCGGGTCCTGGAGCTGGTGCGGGAGCCAGTGATGGCCCAGGAGACATGGCATCATAAACGGGCAAAGCCGGTGGTGACCCGGCCCGAACTGGTGGTTCGGGTTTTTTCAATCTATGGGTTCTGGGGTCAACTTCCGGTGCTCCTTCTGGCAAAACAGCTGATATGGATCTCAGATTTCTTCTCCTGTTGAAGTCTTCCTGTACTGATTGTGGAACTAGGAGGCGTTCAATACCGTGGATTACTCCATCGGGACGGGTCACATCATCCGGTCGGGTCAACACGGCGGCTCCGACAAGCTTTTTGCCCGAATTCTTGGTGATTAAGTGCAGATGGTCGTTGCAGAGAGTGGTGTGCCTGGTGGGGTTTGATTTATGACCCGGCCAGTCATTGGATCCGACCCGTTGGGGGATAATGTGGAACAACAAAAGGGTTTGGAGAGATTTGAGATTACCGGGTTCAAGTAAAAACCGTTTGAATTCGGGGTCAAGTTGACGCTCTAAAGCTTCATTTTTTGGTGCAAAGATGGTGATGTTGTGTTTGCCAACAGCTTCTTCAAGGGTTTGCAGAAGGAGAGCCTTCTCAACGAGCTCAGCTAACTCAGTGTAATGCGAGTCAAGGAGGGCAACAAGAACCGAGTTGGAGTTTATCATCTGACCCGTAACCGTACTATTGCCAGTTCTATTCTGATGGGGCAATGCAGAAATGGAGGCAACGGAAAAACAAAGAAGAGTAAAGAGAAGAATGGTTTTCTCGGAGACACCATAGATGTGAGAATCCATGGTGCTCAAAGACAGACTGGAACTTGGAATTGAGAAGGGTGAGAAATTTGTAGTTTTCTTTGAATTCTGGCTAAATGGGTGCGTGTTGAGTAGTGCACTATTGAGGGGTGCTTGCTCTGGGTTCGTGGAGGGTAGCGGAAGGATGGTTTGGTTGGCCTTTAGAGGCTGGGGGTGGGTTTTGCTTAGAGAAGAGACACGCAGGCGGAGGAAGACTTCTACCTTTGGCAGTAATGGACACTTTTATTTGAGGTTGTGAAAGGTTAGGACAGGCACAGGCTGGCTGTGGGGTTCACACGGAAGACGACGGCTTCACATTACACTAACTACACAGGCAAGCTAGCTAGCTCGCACATGTCATGAGCCGCACGCGGTTTTTGTGAACCCGAGAACTCTTTTCTTCGAATTCTTCCAGGTTTAAGCCACGCCACCAGGATAGTTTTGTTTTCTTAGTTTGACCGGTAACCTTTCTACTAATTTTGTCGTGATGTTTATTTATCCTTTTCCATCTCTTTTATGATTATTTTCATCTCCAGTAACATTTGAATTCTATGTCTTATTAAGTTATTATCATTTTTAGGCTATTAATGTATATTTATAAGAGATTATATAAAATAAAAATATTTTTTTCTCTTAATCTCTATTGGTTTTATTTATTTTATCATAACTCATTTTTAAATTATTCTTTAAATTCATCTTCTTTTTAGAATCAAAAAATAAAATAAAGATTGATATTTTAACAAAAACAAGTTGGGAGATTTCACATATAAAAAAATCAAAATGTAATTTTAGATTAAATTGAGAGTTTAATTGTATGTTATTTTATTAAAAAAAATAGAGAAATAACATAAATTCAAGCTCAAGTTATATAATTATTGAATAAATCTGAATAAAAGTTAAAATTAAAAATATAATTATAATTTTGAGAGGATTTTCTTCAGAATTAGGAAACAACAAAGAACAAGAATTTTATATGAATTATGAGTTATGGTAAAATAACATTAATCACCATACGCAGCTAAAATCTCTCTTTTTCTAACCAGAGAGGGACAGCTCGTCGTGAATCATATACATACAAATGGCAAGAAGCAGAATCTTATAATCTCTCTACAGATTTAATAATTCCCGTCATCATTTGGAAAAAGAAAACAAAACTCGTTAAACTAATCAGTTTTTATTTTCTAAATCTTAATTTTCTTTTACTTTTGCTCTCAAGATATCCTCTAGTCCACTCTAGTGTATTAAATTATTTCTCTTTCTAGCCAAATTTTGGACATTCAAACTACTAAATTCACTACAAACCAATTAAATTTTAAATACTAATTTAGTTTTTCTTCATAAAAAAATAGTATTTGAAGGATATATTATCAATACAATTAGGTGGTGTTTTGTTCATAGTTTTAAAACCTGGCCCGACAGGTCGACCCAAGACCTGGGGCTAAAACCGGGCCGGATTTATGAAAAAATAATTATAGTTAAAAACTCGGTTGACATGATAAGTTGACCTGGTAAAAACTGATCAAAAAACTCGATTGTAATTCATTGATTTTTTTATCAAAACGACATTGTTTTGATTTATAAAAAAAAAAAAAAAGGTTGACCCAGGTGACCAAGTCAAAACCTATGGCCCAAGCCTTGGGCCGGGTTGACCACCGGGTCGGATTTAAAAATGCTAATTTTGTTTGTCCCAAACCAAAAAAACAAAAATAATAAAAACAGAGGAGACAAGATAAAAAAAGACACATAACTGTGTTTAACAATGATGTACAAGATAAAATGATTGTCTATGTATTTTGTTTGGTTATAATAAATAAAATAAAATAAAATATGAAAAAAATCTATTTTATTTTTAATATGTGTTATTATCAATATACCAATATACTAGTTTATATCGAGTGTTGAAATTAATAATATTATAATAATCATAGTCATAAAACACAAATTGACTTGAAACCTGAACTGATTCGAGTTTGAGAAAAAATAAATGAAAGATTAACTCGACTTGACTCGATTAAAAACCCAAGTCAACCCGTGATAAAACATAAGTCAAAACCTTGACTTAAAAAAAAATGATTAAGACAAGGTTACTTTAATTATTTTTTTTTTAAATTGAATCAATCGGATTAACCATCTCAACCTGTGACTTGAACCTTATCTCAAATCGACTTTTGAATTATATTTTAAAACTACAATAATAATTATTTTTATGCATGTGTTTACTCGAGTTAACTCATGTTGATCCTTTCAATATGTGACCTAGGTCTTGCCTCGATCGACCTTCGAGTCGAGTTTTAAAATTATAAAAATAATAATTTTTATCCTTATATTGATCTAGGTTAACTCAAGTTAAGCCTCTTGGTTCCTGACCCAAACCTTACCATAGGTTGACTATCAAATTAAATTTTAAAACTATAATAATAACTACATTTATTTTATTTTGATCTAGCTTAACTCGAGTTGACCTTCTTGACACATAATTGAGGCTTTACCTTAGATTGACTCTCAAGTATAATTTTAAAACTTTGATAATAACTATTTGTGTCTTTACATTAACTCTGGTCAACGGTCAACCCCGCTCGTGACCTGACCTTGCCCTAAGTCGACCCTTGAATTATATTTTAAAACTACAATAGTAACCATTTTTATTCTTACATGGCAATCTGACCCTTAACTAGTGACCCAAGTTTTGTTCCAAATCAATTTTTCGAGTTGAGTTTTAAAACTGTGATAATAATCATTTTTATCTTTCCATATCTTAGATGGATAATTTCAGAATTGAGAGTTTTTTACATGGATATTTTAAGAATAATAAAAAATAGTGTCTTTATCTCACTGTTCCAGAGTAACTTTCGAGTTGAGTTTTAAAGCTGTAATAATAATTATTTTTATCTTTCTATGTCTTAAGTGAATAATTTTAGAATTGAGAGTTTTTTACAGGGATATTTTAGGAATAATAAAAAATATTGTCTTTGTCTCACTCCAAAATTGTTTCAAAAATAGATTTATTTTTATAATATGGGTTGCAATATTTACTCACACTCTTTTGTTTTAATTTTTTTTTGTCACTTAACTTTTTTATTATTAATTTAATTATTTTTATATTAAGTTGATTTGAGATTAGATTTGATATTTTTTTTGGTTGGTTTTATATCATGATGTTAAAAATATATTTAATGTTTAATTTAATAAAATAAAAATTAATTTTATTAACTCAAACCAATTAAAACTTTAGAGACCCGATTTCAAAATAAAAAACTATTTAGCCTCCTTTTATTTTCTAAAAAAATAGCATCTTTATTTCAGTTTTCTCACTCAAACTTGATTGGAATTAATATATTTTTTAATTCTTAATTTATTTTATTGAATAAGTATATAAACTTTTTAATTTACAATTAAATTTTTTTTTAATGACAGAAAAATATTAACAGCCCTCGTATATTTTTTAGACATTGAAAGAAGTACATGAATCAAACTAGTATGTATATTAAAAAAGGATAAGTTTGGAACAAGACTAGAAAAAAAAAATTATTGTTAAATTGATTTTGAGATAAAAATTCATTAACTATGATAAGGAAATTCCAAAGAATTAGCTCAATTTGTCCTTGTAATCCACGCCTAGTTGTTAAAAGACTTTTTCCAAGCTAACTGCTTGTAATTTGTCTCTAAGTATATAATCATTTTATAATTTATCCTTATATAGTATATTCTCATCTATGGTAATGAAAATATCCTCACATGGGTAATTCAAACCTAATAAAATTTAATAAAAAAATAACTAAGAAAAAAATTAATTTCAATATAATATGGTAATTTTTTTCAAATATGTTTTTTAATAAATTAGCTGGAGATTCATAAATAAGGATATTTAATTCAATTTACATTAAAGTATAGTCTATAAAGATATATTAAAGAATGAAGTAAAGCATGCGAATAAATTAAGAACCATTAAATTTATATAAACAGATTTCAAATTGAGTTAAAATATAATAATAAATTAAACTTGTTTATTAAAATGGGTATTTTTATTTATCAGTATTATTAAAAAAATATTGGCAAAACAATAACGATAGTGTAGTAAGAGTTTATGGATTTAAAATGGGTATTTGTTTTTAATCTCTTATTTTGTATTGTAATTTATGGAATTTATTTTACAATTCTTTTTGAAATATAATTTTTTTTAATTAGTGACAACTTTCAGTCTTATGTTATTTTAAAAAAAAGTGTTATTTCACAAAATGTTTTTCTTAAACACTACTAATTTTATTAAAAAATCTTCAAAAATTCTAACACCACACGAGAGACGAATGTGGTCATAAAATGAAAAATGAAAAAAATGAAATAAGTAACATGTGATTGCGGGGATTCACGAGGCGAGAGAATCTGAGCAATTCACGTGCGTAGTTACGACAGTAGAAGTAAGGTTAAAAGCAAAGTGTCGGTGACCCTGTCTGGTCATGAGTTCATGCCATCATTTCTACGCCAAGCTTTCTCTCTCCACACCTCTACGCGCGCTTCCATGCGTGAGCGTAGTCTCTGGACACTGCGACGGCTCGCCTGCTGGCAGATTGCACGTCACTCTCAGCTGACTTCTTCACATGTCTACTTCCCGTTTTGTTTTTCTCTGCTAAAATTCTCATCTTTTGATTCTTCGCAGCCCTTTTTTGTTCCTCATCTTATTTATTATTTATTTATTTTTATTAAAACGAGTATTTGAATTAATATATATATATATATATATATATTTGAATTAATTTTATAAATTTTAAAATTAATAATCAAATTTTTAGTAGTTATTATATTAACGACCACAGCTCAGGAACCTATTTTTTTATTAATAGAAATATTTAAATTATACTAACCTCATATATTTTAAAATTAATAAGTATGTAATTTTTTAATAAATTTAAAAGAACTCGAAGGTAGCTAGCCCTAGTTGTCAAAGAACCTATTTTTTATTTTTATTTTAAATTAACGTAAGTATTTACACCAGTTTACACGTACCATAACTAATGACCATCATATAAGCAATCAAGAACTCGAACTTGAGATCACAAAAAAACAAACTCCTTGATTTAAATTTTTATCACTTGTCCATTAACTAATTAACAACCTATTCTTGATATCATGCTAAGTGCTGGAGTCTATGGCTCCCTTGATTTTTGGGAATGGGTCGTGGTATGAATCTCACATTCATTTAATCTGAGAAAATTCTGCATCGTTATTCAACCACCCTGGAGAGGTTGAT